AACAGCCTATTCCAGGCCTTTTGCCTCATTTTTTGTAAAACGTTCCTTGGATGTTAATTGGCTTCACCAAGCTGGTTTTCCAGGACCTAAAGCTTCATAGCTTTCAATGTCTTGGACTATTTCGGTGCCTGGCTTTTTATGAACTCAGGGCTGAAGGGCTTTGTTATAGTGTTACTATTGCCATCTGGTAGTGGTGGTAGATTAGTCATGGAACAGCTTGGTAATCTCTGCATTACCAAGTTGCACATGGAAAAGCTTTTATGTTTATGTAAAAGTTTTCTGCCTATGTTTTGGGCTGAATTTAGTATTTTCATTTATATTCCTATCATCAGTATGACTCCACAGAGATGATTTGTGAAGCTCACTATATGCATGTGGAATGTCAAGCTGCCCTTGACTGGCACATCCTAATCAAAGATTTGCAAAAGAGGACAGACCTAGTTTAATTGATCATGAAAGCAGGAGGGATCACTAATGCTTGATCACTAAGTTCAAGCAATATAGTGTGGTAAACTTTGTCTTAATGCAGCCCAATGATCTCCAGACATTCACAAACTATGGCCTCCAAATCTGCCTCACTCTGTACTTTACAGACAAATGGAAATAAAAACGATGTACTGTACTGTAATTATGAAATTATAGTACATTACTGTATTGTGCATGTCATTGGCCATCTTTATTGTATAATAGATTGTTGCCTTGCTTTCTGTTAGGACATTACAGTGTATAGTTGGGGAACAAAAGTTTGATCCCAGTGCTGTCAGATTGTGATTACTGCCTGTATTATTCATGTATCAATCATGAATAACACGCCAAATATTAGGGGGGACTCCCGGTTTGCCTCCTGCCTCCTCCTCGCGTATTTGCACTCGGGGCAGTGGCGGGCGTCGTTCCCAAGTGCGGGTAAAAGTGCACCGTTGAGCCTGCGCATGACTGAGCTCGAAACTGCACTCACTGATGCAGTTAACACTTGACAAATGATCCTTAACTTCCAAAATACTAATGGGAATCGACCAAATTGATGGAGGAATTCCTGAAACCAGCAAATTCACGAACAAGAGGACACAGATTCAAGCTAAGGAAACAAAGGAGCAGAAAAAAATTAGAAAGTTTTCTTTCGTAAGCAGAGTGGTAGACGGTTAGAACAAGCTAAGTGAGAAGGTGGTAGAGGCCAAAACCGTCAGTAGTTTCAAAGTGTTATACGACAGAGTACTGGGAAGACTGGACACCACGAGCATAACTCTCGTCCTGTAACCACACTTGGGTAATTACATATGGGGTATAACTGGCCAACCTCTCAGTGTTTGAGAGAGAACTCGACAAGCACCTTCAAATGATACTAGGTTAGCCAGACTTTAACTCGTACATCATGCTGTGAGCAGCCGCTTCTAACAGCCTGGTTGATCAGACCAGCAATCAGGAGGCCTAGTCAGAAACTGGGCCATGGGGACATTGTTCCTCAGAATCCTCAACAGGTAGTCAACAGGTACAGGTAGCATTCATTAACTTAGGGGCGTGCTGCATAAAATTTTGATCCTGAGCATAAAGATAAACATAATTTTTAATCATTACATAATTCTTAATATCATTTCCAAGTCAAATTATCTATTATAAAATTTCCTTAAAATAAATGGTGAGTACAGTATATAACATACAAAATAATATTTTATTTAATGCACCCTGTATATTTTATATAAAGATACATGGTCTAGTCACTAAACGATCAAATAATGTTTAGTTATCGTGTGAAGTAAGTTGGCAATAAAAATGGAGCTCGAATAGTTTGTGTGGACCCCGAATTCAACAATGAAAGTGTGTAGCATTTCTTAAATTTGTTAACATTTTCCTGTTAAAGATTGTAGAAGTATATGTATATACTAATCAATATATTTTATTGTTTCAATGTAGATTATCAGTGTTTAGAATGAAAGTGTTGTATTTTGAGCTTATTATATGTTTATATATATATGTGCTTAAAATCTAACTTGCTATAAATGTGCTTGGGAAATGTATGATATCAGTAATTAGTGTTGATTCTTTTGTAATGATGCCTTACTCATCTTATTGCGAGCTAGACACCCAGCTACTACGGACAAGTTTACAAGGCAATGCACTATTTGGTTCCAAGTTTGCTACAAACTTAGTGAAATGAGGATTACATAGGCCTTGTTTGTTTTAGTATTTGTAAGCTTTTGGGCTTCAACAACAATGTTCATGGGGATAAAAATGTATTCTCCCGTTAGATTTTTTCACGTGCTATGGTTTTAGTAAACAACGTAATGCAAGAATAGGTCAGAGTATCTTCATACTTTTCCTTGTGATAAGGTGGTGTAATTCATTACTCTTGAGATTTCATAATATACTTTGTATTTTCAGGCAGGAACTTAGTCTTCACAAACTCACTAAATTCCTAAGTGTAGTTGGCTTTTGTATTTTTGTGTTTCAATTAGTAATTTCAGCATTTGCTTTTTGTGATGTGACCAATAACGGAGTGTGTGTGTGTGTGTGTTAAAGTATCCTTAAATGTGAAATGTAGATGACTTTTTATGGGCATATGTTGCTTTTGTGCATCAGACAAATGGTCTCAAATTTGTTAACATACACATAATACAGGTACAGTATTTACTTAGTGTAATCATAGATCATTTTGTACTGTAATTTGATTTTAATTATTTAATTACTGTATTACTAAACTTATTTCTTTACTAGCATGTTTTCATGTTAATAAACTAATGCCTACCCATACATTTATCATCTTGTAGACATGATTTAATTTTAGATTCATCATATTTGATGAATACTTTGTCCATTCTGATTCAGTTATCTGGCCCTGTACAGAAAATATGATGCTGGACAAGTATATGGAAAGAGCAGAATGTATTGGATGATCAAAATAGATGTATGAATAAAGAAAAGGTGAAAGATATGGACGAGTTCCAAGCTGTGATCAGTTTATGAATTTTTAATGCAGTTTTACCTTGTAGTCTCTTATCATCTGGTATCTCCTCGTTGCCAGTACATTGACATGGTAAGGGGAAGACTTGAATGCTTCACCCTCTGTGGTTGGTGACCAAGTTGAAGGGTCGTCTACCTCTGGCACATCTGCTTGCTTGCTTGCACTTGGAGGAGATCTCTTGAGGTCTTGTTTCATATTGCTGCAGTTGACCCTGACCTTTTATCCCACTTTCAAACATGTCTATAAACACCTGTTGACCACAGGCTCTACACCACCTTGAACATTGACTACATAGCCCTCTAATTCCCTTGATGATGCTCTGTCTCCTATTATCACTTCTTGTGGTGGTGCCATGTCACTAGTCACTAAGAGTGATGGTTTCTTTAATGCCTCTTCCTCAGATTCTGAAACAATGGTGCCTTATACTGGACTCCCCATGTTGATCATGAGAAGCAGCAACTTTATCCCCCAACATGCACTAAATACTTAAATTTATATCCGTATGCATGGCTGTCTTTTAGAACCTTTTTCCTTATCCTTGTCAATGTTTATTTCTGAGAACTGAATTGTGTAGACTCATGTTCACATCTCTTCTGGTTGAATGTCCTTGATTTTCACGATGGAAAAAATTGCTTTTCTGCAATTTTGATCTTTATGCCAAGTCACTCTCGATAAACTTATATGTGAACCCAACTTTAAAATGGGTAAATTTTTTCTGTTATTTCTGTAAACTTTTCATATATTTCTGCTCCAGAAGTGACATTGTGCAAGATTTGTAGGACCTTTGAATTGTGACTTGATTAGTTCAATTATACAGTATATAGCCATAATTTTTAGTGCTTTTAATAATTACTATTTTGTTAGTCTTTCCTGGCTTTGGACCTTCCTTTGATAATTACTTGCTTGCTTACTATTGTAGTGTCTGCCATGATCACTGGCACAAGTGTATGTCTGGGAAGTTTAAACTGTGTCAGAACACTGTAATGATTGTGGGTGCAGTTTACATGTATAAATTGTATTGTGTAGGTAGTCTCAGGTAAATGTTGTGTGGGTGGTCTTGGGTAAATGTTGTGTGGGTGGTCTCGGGTAAATGTTGTGTGGGTGGTCTCGGGTAAATGTTGTGTAGGTGGTCTCAAAGAAAAGTTGTGTAGGTGGTTTCAGGTAAATGTGATGCAGTGCAATGTTGTATTGCCTATTTGCTATGTATATGAGTTGAGTGTGAGGTCTAGTTTTTTACAGCTTCACAGACTGGAGAGTGGCAGTAATGATTATCTTGTGAGAGATAGTGTTAGGTAGCTGGACTAATTATTTGGTGAAGTAAGCAGGGAATATTTAGAGAGTAGATATTAGCAATTCTAAATGAAAGTAAGCATTTTGGGATCAGTGTTTTAAGTGTATAAACTTGAACGCTGAATTATATAGTAAAATGTTGCTAGTCTTTCAGTTTTATGACTAAGCTTATTTGAGAATGAAATGTACTACTGTAGCAATATCTTGGAGTACTTGCTATCCCTCCAAGTGTAAGATGTGAAATCGTTCTGTTAGATTTGACTAGAACAGTAAGTTAGACTACTTCTTCTAGGAGACACTATGTATGAATGTGCAAGAAGATATTGATACAAAAATCCTTAACTAATTGATTTTGTTGGAAAAATGAAGATAGAGATTTAAATGTTGTGTGCAAGCTGTGTGGAGTGTAAAAAATGGAATGGATAAAGTATATTAATTAAATTGATGACTTGAAATATGCATTAGAATGCTTCAGATAAAATTCAGTAATATGGTTAATTTACCCCATGAAAGTCTTTCGTGTAATGTCATGTCATATAAAGCTTTTGAGAGGTACAGTTATCATCCATTCTGTTCATTTGTATGTACTGGTTGTTGGTAGAATTTTACCTGGTATCGTAGATGTTTGTCTTGTGTTTAGTCCAAAACAAGTAGTGCCCTAACCCTTGCCCACTTATCCTATCACTAGCACACTGGTGTGTGTGTGTGTATCAACCTTATACACATGTAAAAGTGAGACCATTTGTCATTGTAGAGTGTGGACACAGAGGAGTGGTACGTCATGCATGATGCAAACCTGCTATGCTATTATTTGAAGTCGCATATGGCCTTCCTGAAGGAGACGTGGTTCAGCTCTATGCTTGGCAGACCCACCATTACTTTTCTTGTTCAGTCATTTATGTTAGGTAAGATTGGAATTTTTTTAGTGAATTCCATTTTAATGGGTTATATAAATTATATATTTTTATTGTCTTTTTAATGATGTTCACTACTGCACTTGCAAAAATGTATTACAAAAAACTGGTATGGGGCTGCCTTTGCAGTGTTTCTAATATTACTATCACAAATTTAGGGCAGGCATCTATTAATGTGTGCTTGACCTCATTTCTAAGTCAAGTGGGCTCTTGGAGGAAGTATTGCTCTCATGTGTGGTCTGGGAATTACAGCAGAAAACTTTGTATAATCAACACACGACAAATCCTAATGTACCGTAATTACAATAATTAACATAAATATTTCAACTTATATTACAGCACTTCACTTGTGCTTAGATGCCTTGTACTGTATTTTCTAAAGATAATTAAACTGATAGGAATCGTTATCATCATCCTTTCCTTGCAATTCCCTAGTTGCATAGATTTATCAAATGTTAAACTCGGCTCCATTAAACATAATGTTTCCATTAGCCTCTCTTAAGTCATCTGAACTAAAAATAAGTAACGTCGTTAGCCCACTTGTATACTGGCCGTACAGTACTAGGGTGATGTGGGTTTTGATGGAAAGGAAACCTGTATCTTGGAACTGTTTTATTTAGTGCTCCTGAGCTTGTGTCTTGCTTTGTATCAACATCTTTGGAAATATACTGTAGATGTATTTTGCTGTACTGTGCCTTACTTTTAGTCTACCATACCTGTGATGTGGCTGATGATATATAGCCACACTGGTGTGCTGTTGCCTTGCGATAATTATGTATAGAGTTTTACAAATACATTAGGTGTATTAATGTAATAGAAAGCCACTGCAGTTTCGGTGAGTTTAAATTTAGTAATTATGCAAGCCACCATTTCTCTGAGAGTTCACATACCTTTGTTGAACATTTACTACTACAATAACCTAATGCAGCCTATTCTCAAAGCTTCTGCTCTTGAATTAAATGCTTTTTAGTGTTTTCCAATCTTGGTGTTGTCCTCCCTTTATTCTCAAAGGTCATGCTGTTGGCTTTTTAATGCTGATATTCTGCATTAATGCTGGAGTTTGTTATATTACTTTAATGTAGAACTAATAGTATTCATAATTAATTTGTATTCATGTTTCAAATTGAGCATGCTTATCACATAAGATTGCAAGATTAAATTTTTTAAGATTGTTAAACAATTGATACAACTACTTCAAAACATTTCTAGAAAATTTGTTGTAGAGAAGATGGAAAAAAGTTATTAAATATTCAATTTAAGTAGTTATAGGTGACTCTTGATAATACTTTGGTATTTGTTACCCCCTCCCCCCCCCCCCCCTCCTTCCACACACACACACACACACACACACACTGCGTAGGCTCATGCTAACGGGAAGATAAAGAATTTTATTTCTTGAAATATAAATTAAGTACTGTACTATACTATCAGAATGAAAATCATAGGAATGTTTTGAGAAAAGGCCCATTGAGTTTTTACACAGAACTTTTCTTTTGGTAAGGATTTTATATGGAAATCTAAGTAATTGAATTAAATTAATATTTATGGAGATATGATGCCACAGCAGCTCTACTGATCAAAACTTGGCATTTTTAAATAGAGGACTAGCCTTTGATATAAACAAAAAATTGGCCCATTGGCTTTTCCATCCCCCGAACTGTTTCTTCCCATTAACTTATTTCTATGAAATTTTTTATGAACTGGATTAAACCTTGCTGAATCATGGAAGGTGCCACTAGTTTCCAATAATACTTGCTAGACTTGGGAGTAAGGTCACTGGTTGCCTAGCGTACACATTTAATCCTAGTGGACAATGTTTTTCTCAATGAGCGTCCTAGGCACCGGCTCAAAATGGTATGTTTCACTATACTTTACACCCTAAAATATTTTGACAATAACCTATATTGATTTTGGAAAAAAAATCAATGAATACTTTAGTATTAATGCAGTAGATTGTTATAAATTAATTTACACAATTAAGTACAGATACGTTTTGAAAGTCACTAATATGTTTAGTATTTTCGTCGGGGCTTAATGCTAATACAGTATACGTAGGCTCGCACCCTCATTCACAGCCCTTGTAGATTTGTTCATTGATATATCACGTTATTGTGATGTCTGTATAAGGACATAGAGGTAGAATATCTGGTTGACAGAGTCTGAGTGCATGGGGGAATTGTGTAAAACCCCAATTGTGCTTCGGGATCCTCGTGAGGGCAGTAGCACTCTAGGTTGCAATTCTTTTACCTTGTCGTGGTACAGCTGACTAAGGCACATCTGGGAACATCCCGTGCATAGGTTTGAACCCTCATCGCGGCCCTTGTGGATTTGTTCATCTAATACAGTATGTATATTAAAACTTTGGAGCCATTTAGAAATTGACAATATTGTTAAATGTAAATAAAATACATAAAACATTTAGATATCATTGTAGTACAGTACTTGGAAAAGGTGATGGTGGTGAGAAGAAATTTGATTTTCTAGAGGTATTGAATGGTGGCTTCCTGAGATAGCTGTACACAAATATGTCACATTCGCCCTTGGATGTCTTCAAAAGCTTACCAGAGGGCAAAACCTGGCCCCCTTCCTCCTCACAGAGGCATAGGGAGCAGGGGATTCATGAAGTATGAATGAAGAATCAAATCTCACTGAAGAATCAAATCTCAAGAAAAAAGTGAAACAAAACAAGACAGCTGGAAGGTTCACTGGAAGTAAACAAACAATTCTGCAAATGATCTACCTAGTTGTTAAGTCATACACCCCCTTAATAATGGGTGACCACCACCAGGTGGTAGCACCATGGTAGTTATAGCCTTCCCACGTCAACAATCCCTAGTCCTTTAACTGATGTTAGATGTGTCTGACTGCTCCATGAGTCACCAGGTTTTCAGGTCCTAGATTTAGAAAAGTGTTGGCCATCCTTTTGGACTTTTTTTTTTTCTGTGGGACCATTTGCTTGTGTATCACTCCATTCTTTAACATTTGCTTCATGTGCATGTGTTTAAAAACCTCACTTGTATGGAGTTTGGAAACTGTTTATCTTGAGCTGTGTCTGCCCTGACGGTTATTTCCTTAATGGGCTTGTGTGTTCATCTCATAGAGGCTGGTCTCCTGTGGAAGGTGCTTCGCCTTGAGTAGTGCAAGGGTCTTGGACTCTGAGGTTCTGAGGTTGGGGCATAATGGGGTTTATGGATTTAAGGGGTACTCTATGGTTCACATGCTTGTATTTTTTTTTTTTATTAGAATATATACAAGTTCTTACATTCTTGTACAGCCACTAGTACGTGTAGCATTTCGGGCAAGTCCTTAATCCTATGTTCCCTGAAATACGACCCCCCGCGTAGAATCGTTTTTACAACCAAGTACCCATTTTACTGTTGAGTTAAACAGAGGCTACAGTTAAGGATTTGTGCCCAGTAAATCCTCCCTGGCCAGGATACGAACCCAGGACAAATCCCTCGCGAAATGCCAGGCGAGCGTCTTGACCACTACGTCACGGAGACTATATGTTGCACCCCAGTGATGCCCTTTGTAGCAGAGTTTTTCTAAGAGTTGCTGCAAGTATTCATACTAATTGTCCTGCCTAGGATGTCCTGCTAGGTCTTTACATTCAGGCCTTGGTAAACCTTGTGGGTCTTTGGTGTGGATCATAATTGATTGATCCACCGAGCCTGCATTGGCATATTTTGCTATATGCAATGATCATTTATATTTTCTGCATTTCTTTGGCTGGTTAGTCCTTGGATGCGTATTCCAGAAGGTTTCCATCATCCCGCTCTGTCATGTTCTTCATAGTCAGTTCTTTTCTCATTCCTCCTATGGGATCAGGCTCTCACTTTGTTTTCCTTCCGTCACCTTGATTTCTTGGTCGTCCCTTCTGTCTATGACTCCTTTTTTGAGGTGTTTTTGCTTCCAATTGTGGGGCTAGGGAGTATCTTGCTTTCTCGTGGGTGCATGGGCTTTGTTCTTTTGGCAGTCTTCTCCCTTTCTGGCTGAGATTGAGATGGTTGGCTTCCAGTGAGGTCCTTTTGTTATTGATTTTTTGTTTGGTGCATTGTCGTTTGATTTTTTGTTGCAGTAGTTTGCAGTGTTGTACCAGCCTGCAATCTGCTCTTGAGCCCATGTTGTTTGGAAGTTTTCAGCTTTAGCTACTGTGTTATCTAATATGTCTTAAGCTGATGTCAGGGCTCGTTTGTTTTTTGTCTTAGGAGTCCTGACTGCTCATTGCCTGGTCCCCAATGAGCTTATGTTACCCTGGGTAGGGTTTTCCTCCAGGTCTCTCCCCTTCAGGGGTTAGATTTTTCTTCTCTGGTGTGTCCCTTTTTTCTATTTCCTGTAGCTAACTACATGGAAGTACTGTTTGGCCCTTCTAGGAAACTAGTGTTGAATATAATGAAATACCTCTTTCTGGGGAGGGAGGGGCTGCAGTGGCGCTCTAGACCCTCCCAGCTCTACCAGATGCGTTGGTTGGTTTTTCTTGGGCTCCGGACTGATGATTCCTGACATGGTAGACATCATTTACCTCATTCTTCTTGCTCATTTTAAATGTTCAGTAAAACCTGAACTATTAAGCCAGTTCCTTTGAATACTGTAGACATGTTTAGATAAATATGTATATGATACAATTGTGTTTGTTAATTGATACATTTTGATACTCAATTTCTTTATTTTTAAATTAAACTTTACAACCACTAGCTTAAATATTCAACCAGGATGAAATTATTTGGATTTTATGAGCACCACAGCAAAATGTTCTAAACTAAAATAATAAAAAAAGAATTGTATAGTATTAGTCTCTAAAGAAAATTCTTTATATATTTCACACCTTTTGAAAATAATTTTTTGTATTGGGCTTGGTACGATAAAGCTTTGATGTATAACAATTAATTTTATCTTAAAAAAAAATCTTGATTGTAGGTGGTGTAGGACCTGTCATTGTCTTAATATTAGTTTGTCTATTCAATAAACATGTATAGTTTATGTTGCATGTAAAATTCAGATAATTTTTACAATAGATATACTGTAGTAAACAAAACTTAAGTTATCCTTCAACTATTCAAATTTTTATCTTTTGAATCATATGACTATTTGAAGTATTTGAACTCACTCAATGTAGGCTGTTTACATAAAGTATTCCATGAACAATGTGGTTCTGAATACTGGCCATTGGAGAGCTCCATTTATTACATCTCCCCATTACAAAATTTCATTCTTTTTCTCTCTGATATTTATCATACATAAATTAGTTTCCTATAAGGTTCTACTGTATATTGAAAGCTTTTTGGTGGTAAAAATAAATATGCCTTGCCTTTCATTGGTTACATCATAGAAATCTTTCAAAGTTGGTTAGGCACGATTTCCCCCTTTTTTAGACCCATGCTATTGATCTATGATGAACCATATTAAGTACTCCAGATGGTCTCCTATACTGTAGAATAATCTCATTTATTTTGCTTTTCATGTTTGTCAGTTCCTTGATTACCTAATTAGTTAATTAGTGATTAGTTGTATTTATCTTCATCAATACTGTAGTTAGTAATTATCTAAGTTACCTAAGTGCATGATAAGTATGCATTTGATGTACCGACTTCCCAGTAATCTTGGGTATCATCCCCTTCATTCTGTGCCTGTAGCAGGATCGTGTTTTGGCACAATTGTCTTCATGTATCCAGCTTTTCAGGTGCTTGTGTCATTAGCTATTTAGTTAAAGGTAGAGAGCTCTTCTCATAATGTTTTTTCTGCCTTGTATAGTTAATTGTAAATGGTTTTAAAGCTTCCAGTGGTGTTAATGCACACAACCACCCCCTGGAGTTTGCCCCAACTATCCACAACTCAATTGGTAAAAATGTTTATCATTATCCTTCTTTCATCGTTTCTTCTGGAGTTTACAACTATAAATTCTAGTTGTGTTTTCTGTTTGAACAACTTTTGTCAGCTTTCTGGCCTTTTCATATAGGGTGCATATTGTTTTCAGTGGTAAAATACAGTATATAAAATATAATTTTTGTAAGGCTAATAACCTCTCAATTGTATCATTAACTGAGCTTGTTTATTAATGGTTTGGTGTAGCTGTTTATACCTGACTTTTATCTCGCACTCACTCACAATATCTCATTCATGCCTTTATTACCATCGTTTGTATATGAAGCATAAGAAAATTGCTTTAATTTTGCAATGGGTTTGACTTACATTGGACTGAATATTATAGTTTTTATAGTCATGAAGATACTAATGTGAATTCTAATTCTTATTTGAACTCTGACGATCTCATTATCTCATTACACTGTTGCAGAAGACGGAAAAATTCCTCCTGCCATGATCTCAACGTTGAAGAAGCTAAAAAGTGGATACATAAATGGTACAAGGTAAGAGCGTTTGTTATTGGTGTCTGCCAACATTCTTGACGTGTGTTTTGTCTTTAAATATTTAAGTAATTTTCTTTCTAACTGTGGAGCTAAGGCAGCCATGATTTTGATACAGTATTTCAGTTCATGGTAAAAGGTTTTCAGTAGATATGAGTAATTTAAATTATTCAATAACTTGATAACTCGTATCTTGGCATTTTATAATTAGTAGTTTATTATGCACCCCACACACCCATTCCTTGAGCAGTGGTGAAAAGGGTTACAGAGGCACATAATGGGTTTGGGTTACCATATAGTATTTTGGTCTCGAGATGTAAAGCTAGAAAAATATTGTTATTTTCTATATTCTACTGATGAAAGATAGTGTCTTAGAATGCTATGAAAATCTGTTAGAGCTGCATTACTGCTGACTAACTCGTATTTATTCTGATCCATGTATTTTCTTTGCAGGGTATCATTGGGTAAGATGCAAGAGTTCCTGAATACATCCTGTATCACGAGCCTTAACTTCCTCAATGATACGGAGGGTGGATTTCCTGACAGTGAGTGGGCAGTTTTGGAAGTTCTTGGATTGTCCGGTTTGCAAAGTATCACACAATGAAATATCAAGTACAGTATGTGATAGATCTATGAGAATGTTCTCCCAGATATGTCATGTTCTTGTTTCATTAAGCATTGTCAATAACATTGACGAGATGGTGAACATCATTACTGACACCTGAGCGTAGGCACTTAAAGGTATCTCATAACTTTGATGTTGATATCGGCTGGTGCCTACCAAACTTCACGTAAGTTGGGTAGTGCTTTTGGTTAAGATACCTATAACCTTCAAACTGGGTAGACATTTTCAAGTACATTTTCAAGGGTGCATAAAAGTAAAATTACAACAAATAATTATTTCTTTTTGTAATGTTAGATAATATACACTGATCTCAAGAAAAATAATTTAAAAATTCTACTTACACTAGTTTAGGAGTAATAAGCTGGAAAAAATGGTTTGTGATGATATGGGTTTTAGTCGCCAAAGTTAAGAGCACCCGACCTTGTTCCAGGAAGTGTTGACTTTATGCATTGGATTGATGGGGGGGTAATATCAAGTGTTGATATATGTGTAATATAATGTCAAGTGTTGATACATGTGTAATATAATGTCAAGTGTTGATACATGTGTAATATAATGTGAAGTGTTGATACATGTGTAATATAATGTGAAGTGTTGATACATGTGTAATATAATGTCAAGTGTTGATACATGTGTAATATAATGTCAAGTGTTGATACATGTGTAATACCAGCACACACACTTATAAAAATATTACAAATGCACACTACATAATTTCACTCTTAAGTACATGTATAATTGGGTCAACTCAATAAATTTGACATGTAAATTACTATATTTGGGAGTATATATACAGTACATGGTACTGTCACTGATGAACTAGAACTTCCCACACATATATCAATAATTTCATTGTATACAGAATATATATACAATATGTATACCTATTGCAACTCTGCCAGCCTTTTTGCCGATTACGAGGACCGGAAGCTGGTGACTTATAAAATGTTTCCCAATTGTCCTGATGATTTCAGTTCAGTTGATGAGTTCAGCTGGTCATTTTACGAAACTTCCTGGTGGTACCAAAGTAAACAAGTATTTGGAACAGGTCAAAGCTATCTAAGGAATGAGTCATTCAAGGAGAAGTACACAGTATTGTACACTTTGTATTTGTGCATCACTTTTAGAACATAATTCATCAGTCTGTCATCATTTATTAGTCATTTAGTAATTTCTGTAGAGTATATTTAGATTTATCTTAAGAGAATTATATTTTGCAGGCCTCAAAGGAGAGGTAAAGGAGTATCTAGAGAAACAGATGAGGGGATCTCTGACATGGAGAAGGGCCGACCTTGTACGAATGTCAAACAGGTTAGTCATGGTTATATGTTGCTTGTTTTGTATTTAGATACAGTAATTTTGAAGAAGAAATACAGTAGTGCTCTATATTTATGGTAGAGTTAGTTTTAGTAGTAGAGGTAATTCATTTACAGACATACTCATTCTATAACAATTGATCTCAAAGCAGTTGGCTTTGTTCTTACTTCACAATTGGAAATCCCAGGTTCAATTTCTGGCCAGAATATAAATGGTTGGATACTTTTCCTTTCACCTAATGCCTCTTTGCACCTAGCAGTAAGTAGGCACCTGGGAGTTAGGTAATTATTGTGGGATTGCATCATGAGGAGGGTCAGTAGTTCAACTTGTTTGGGGGGAAGGGGGTTACCGAGGGACAAACCTAAAGTATACAGTACTGTATATACATATATAGGTTTCCTATCCCTGACAGTGGGAATTATTATTACTGTAGTTAAGAAATTACTCTTATATTAAGATTTCATCTTTGCTTTTGAATAAAGGATTATTTTAAGACTAATGCATTTTATTTTAATTATTCTTTATGTATATATTCATTATTTAATTGCAGTATATTTACCTAGGTTTAGTCAGAGAACCACCCGGGATCCTGCTCGCCGTAAGATCTCGGTAGCACTGAGAGGAACAATTCGTAAATCCCGCTCCTTGTTTGTAGATGATGACAAAGGTATGTAGACGTAGATTTGTATGCAAGCGGTATTTCTTTCTTTTGTTATAGTGATATAGATTATCGTGATAGAGAACTTGTTTTAGTTTCTTTTTTATGTAATGGCTACACAAACCAAGCACAGGTTTATTTTATAGAATGCACAAGATAGTAATTTAAGACTTAAATTTATTGTGTATATTTATATATATATATATATATATATATATATATATATATATATATATATATATATATAAAGAAATTTTTTGTATGATATAGTTTAGCTGTGTAATCTATACCAAAAAAAATTTGGGTTATTTTTTTTATTTGTATGGGAACAAGAAATATTGAGTGATAAGGTCCAACATCTGTGTATCAGTATTTTTGTATCTTCGGTTGTAACTCACGAAGATTACTAATATCTAGGATATTAAATATAAAAAAATAATCCATTTCACAGTGTTCACTGTGTTATTAACTATATTATTACCCACTTAAATGTGCATTTAAAGATTTGCAGAAGTCCCCGACATACAGGTGAAGAATGGGGTGACACTCTGAGGCTTCTAATTTCCACCCTCATCTTGATTTTCACAGGTTCCATCCTAATACACACAATCTTTACTGTGTGTGATTTTCACTACCTGCAGTCTTCATTACTTAAGATTTTCATTACTCATGGTCTTCACTACTCATCATGATTTTTTAAATTTAAATTTTGCCCCGAGGGGCAAGTTTATTGGGCAGCGCCACTCATCTTGTGAGTGGACACACCGCCATAGCAGCATGTACAACACTCCCCAATAGGAAGAAAACCCGCTGGGTTGTTCATCCTGTCACTTGTACCCAGACACAGCTGGGCTGGGACTTGCTTAACTGTCTCAAGTGAACAGCTTCTTAAACAAGAAGATTAACATCTATCAACCCTTAAAAGCTTATGTTATCTTGCGGGTGCAAAATGGGGAAATCTTTTAAGAACAGTATCAATATTTGACAAATAGTGTTTTCCTAACTCATCATGATATTCACTATTCGTGATTTTCACTACACATACTCAGATAAAAAGTGTAGCACATGGGCTTATAGCTGTGTAAAACTATGAGATGTATATAATAAATTTGCAGAATACATTACTATGGAGTGTATTTAATTTGTTGTCTTAGGGTTTCATAGTACAGTTGGCTTCATTCTTGACTTACAACTGGGAACCACGGGGTTCAATTCCTGGTCAGGACAGAAATAGTTGGCACATTTCTTCTTGCTTAATGCCTCTGTTCACCTAGCAGTAAATAGATACCCAGGAGTTAGGCAACTGTTGTGGGATTGCCTCCTGTGAAAGGTCAGTAGTTCCACCTTGGGAGGACCTTGATACAAATCTAAAGTTTATACATATGCAGGGGCTTCTTGTTCCCAAGAACGTGAATTATAATAGATGAACTCTGTAAAACCCAGTTATTAAATATACATTTAATTATACTGGATGTTATTGAGCAGCAAGCATAAAGCATCATATGTATTCAACTAATGCACTATAAGAATGATATATTAATCTGGTGCAAAGGCTGATAGTCTGAGACCAGGTTATGGTCGAAAGTCTACCCATTACTGATTAGTATTTACGAATTAGCTGTGTTCTCTTAGATTGTTTCATGAATTATGGGAATGGCTGCCTTTTAAACTGTCTGATGACAACTTGCTCCTACTTTAGGAACTAAAATTGTCCATACAAAATATTTTCCAAGAAATTGTCAACTTTGTTAAAAAAAGAAAAAATTATCCTGTTTTGTATCGGGTAAAATAATGTAATGAATTATAATTATAATCATCATCATCCTGATGAGTGTTTAAAAGATGTTCAGCATGATCAGATTTTGGGCCTTCTCATTAGATACCTGGTCTGTAGTAATAGTTTTCTTACTGTATATCCTTTGCCAGGTTTTAGTCTGGTTTAGTGATCAGTAAGTATTGATGTTTTAATTTATAGATTTAATTTAAATATATGGATTTGGAATTTTTTGTTATTAAGATAGGGCCCGTGTAGGATATTCCGTGCACGGACTTAGGGCCAGTGCAGGAATATCCCTGAAAAAAAATGAGACTGCCATCTTTTATAATTTGCATTTTTAATTTTGGAAGTATGGTAATTGATATCTCCATATCCATTGAAAAATATTTATATTCATTGTACATCTTCCTATTTTAGTGAGTTATTTTGTGAATAGTTAGAAGTTATGAGACCATAGTCTCATGACAAGAACCAAAGTCTTTGGTCCATTGCAGGTCAACAAATTCAACAGGGAAATAGTCAGATTGTAAGTGAGATTGTGTTCCCCATTGCACTACTGTTGGCAGTGCAGGTAGTAACATCTGATGCAGAGGTGTTTTCAGTATACTGTAGCTTAAGTGAGCCCTCACACAGTGAGAAATGTGACTACTGATCGGACAGTCAGTTATCAAAGCAAAAGGGATAAGGAGATACAGTCCTGTTTTCATTAACCATCACCAAATCTAACATCACTTTCTCTGAATGTATCTCTTCACTTCAATTTCTTGACTGATATCTGTTGTTGCTGTTCATCTGGTACAATTAAAATACAATAAAAGCAAACTAATGATAAAAGTGAGGACTCGCATATGAACACAAGCCATGTAGGTATACTTGTTGACCATATATATTGTATTAATTAATTTTGGTATTGAATATTTACTGCATACAGTACGTCCTAACCACATAAAATTTAGGTTTCGCTATGGTCAGCTTTCGAGCATTTTACTTTACTTTTATTTTATTTTACATTTAAATTCATTGCAGAAGTCTCCACTTTGATTTCTTTTTTATACAAGCACAATAAGTGTGAAGTGGCTTTTACTTACGTAATACAGAATCAATGAAAAATATGATTATGTATAGGTGGGACATTGAGCAAGTTGTAATAAGACAAAGTACAAATGACATAACGCGCATAAAATAGATGAGAAATTAAGTATCTGATGAGTGTCTCAGACCAGTTTTTGATTTTGCACTGTGAATGCAACTGAAAGAGAGAGTTTTAGTAAACAAGAGGATGGTCCATTTCAGAATTTTGGCAGTTATACTGTCTGAAAACTCCAGCACAGAATAAATTAAAATAAGAGCTTTTATTTAACATTCTTAAGTGATTATAAAAAGTCGAGCAGAATTTTGTGTAAAGACACGAGTCATTCTGAAATGGAAAAATACTGTGTGACCCAGCAGATGTGGAAAATTTCTGCGAGTGTCGGAAACTTCTGGAAAACCTTGCTGATCATCACTTTGGAGGTTCGTGATATATTGGGACAGCTTTTGTGCTTTATTTTTGTCATTTGCCATCTTGTAAGGTGTTGGGAATATGGAAATTATGTTTTGGAGCTTGGTCGATGAAGAGGCTTTAAGAAATAAAAACATAATTATTAGTAGGATAAAGTAATTTGTTCTTTGTGGGTATTGAAGAGAATGTTAGGACAAATAATGGGAAGGGTGTCATCCTAGAGATCTCTCTTTTCCCTCCCTCCGACTGGCTTGAGTTGGTGTGATGCCTCATTTCTGTTTTGATAGCTGGCTTATATATTTAAATCAGCAAATAAAGAAATCCCCTGTTCCTGTTAGGAATGCCTCATAAATATTAATGCACATGTTTGGGGTGCCAAAAAATATAATTAGAGAGGAGTATTCCCTTAGTCTCTTGTCTCAGATTGGTTCTGAAACGGATTTGGGCCAACTAATCTATTGCCTAAATACAGGTATTTTTAAAAAGGCTTAATTTTTTCATGTTTTAAATATTCATACAGTATTATGTACAATATTACTGTACATTATATTTTTTATATTATTGTTAGGTTAAATCAGTTTTATTGATTTTTTAATATAGGCATTGGAACTGCTAAATTATTTCCATACAAATATTTACAATACTGTACTTTAAGGTTTTGAACTTCTAGTATAATACTGGAAATTAAATAAATAAGATTTAAAAAAAAAAAATTTAATAAAAATAAACACACGTACTCGATACACAATATTTAATAAAAATATTTTAATAAAAATAAACAATGTTTTTTTACTGGCAAAACGTTCTGTACAGAAACTTGTAATACTGTATCTACTATTGCTTCTCTTAAGTCTTCACAATCTTTTCCATCATAAAGCATCATCACTTGTTCTGTAAAAATTAACATTTCATTAGGAGTAACATATTCATACATATATAAAGAATACTTAAAAGAAACTTATTTCATTTCAGGTTTTGTTTCAAAGGGTTTGCAGTGGAAATGAAATGTTGCATTTGTTTTGCTTTTGTGTTGTTATAAAGTAATAATGTCTGAGCTAAGGCCTCTTGGTTGCTGGCCAAGTCAGAGCACATGATCCATCCAGGACTGTGATAGGCCCTCTCCACCTTCACCCCCTACCCCCCAACCTTGACAAGTGTCCTTGCAAATGGTCTCTTCATATGACCTGAGGAATGGAAACTATGTATATCTCTCAATCCACCACAGATATAATAATTGGTTGACAAGAACTTAGCTCTTGTAGAGGCTTAGTTCCCACACAAGGTTTAGCTTCAGAGTTCTGAATCTGATCTGGAATTTTCTGCTCTTCCCCTTCTTTTGTTTGAGTCTAGTTCACATTCCATGAGTAGGGCGTGGGTTTCATTGAACAGCTTCCGATTATTTGCGTCCAACTTGTGTTGGAGTGCAGCTACAGTGTAACCTTGATTTCGTTAACTATGTTGGACCTTTCCCTATTTGTTGCATTCAAAGATTCGCTGCCACCTCAGATGCTTTCAGGAGGTATTTATATGATGCAATTTGTCTTTAAAGCAAGAAAAATACATTGCTATACCTTTTTTTCTTTCAATTTTCAACTGATCACATGATAGTCAACTATCAGGAAATCCTGACTAAGAGATTTTACCCTCTTCATGACATGAAATGGTGAAAAGAACCATTCTCATTAACTTTCTCGCATGTTAGCGAACTCAGGTCCTGCATCCTTAGCGAAGATGCACATCTTCCCCCCCCCCCCCCCCCCACTTTGCTGAATACTTGTTTGGTAATACTAGTGAGTAAATCTGGCCTGGAAAGTGTGCATTACAACTAAAGGTATGCTGAATCATGGTTGTATTCTACAGCCAGATTACTGGCCTCCCTGTCTTCCTTCACCGAGTTGACTGTGGTTGACTAGACTCTGGACTTTTTCTTTGAGTTTGGGAGGTACTGTATTTATATGTCCAAGTCTGCATCTGTTTCCTCCTATGAACCACATCTGCTTGGGTTCATAGTAACCTAAGTGAGCACTTCCATGTTGATTCTTCACTGAATGTGTGTTGTCCTTTTCTTGGTTCACTGTCATCACTTTAGCTGCACTTCTGTTTTATGCCCTTGAAGCTCTTGACTTAACATGCATATTTGGGTGAACTAGGCTTTAAGTGAAGATAGCTGGCATGGTTCTGCTTTTTATATTTCATAACAAGTAGACATATTGGTGGTGGATTTAACTTGATCTTCCCAGACTTCTCTATTTAGGTAACAAGACCCCTTAGGAAAATTATTTGCCTTTGCCTCTTTGGTTTGGAGCATAGGTCAACAGAACCTGTTGGAATGTGTCGTTCTGGGTTGGCCCTGGCTTAGGAAGCAACCAAGGGGCTGCTCAAAGAAGTGTGTTTCATAAATTCAAAGACATGTTTGTTTTTTTCTTCCCATAAGGGGTTGGATCGTCACTTGGATTTTCATTAGGTATACTGTGTTTCAAATTGGTTACATTATGTATTTAATCCTAATAATAAGGTACTCATAAGAGACTTGTAAGTGAGAGCTTGTGGGACTTGGGGACGACATTTGAAATGGTTCTTTACCTACAAACTTAATTGCATATTTTATGCAGTAGTAATAGAGCCATTACACATCATCTAGTGTATGAGCCAACCTAAGGTACTAGTTTGGCAGCAAACTGTTTTGCTGTTCAAACTCTCACATCATACTACACACACACACACACACACACACACACGCATGGTCAGCTAGTTTGCAGCTGACATTTACCATCACACTGATGTAGCTCAAGTTCAGACCCATTCATCATCAATACACATAACGGACAATTTTGATTTATCCACATTCATGATCTTGTTTTTATCATTATCAAATTTATTGAGTAGAATACTGTAAATACATAATGAAGTGCATGGGGACTCAATAACTTTAGGCCATTAAAAACTTGACTACATGTTTTATCCAGTTTTTTAGTAAAATTCAGCATGCTACAACATAGATGTGTCTCCTATTCATTAAGCAAATTATCTTAAATGCAATGAAATCACAAAAATGTGATATATCTATGAGAAAATGCTGAAAACATATGATGGGATCCAGCCTGCATCCTTGAAATCCTGAGACACACGCACTACCATAGTCCAATCCTTGGCGAGTGTGCCTGAGGAGTTAGGGGATACAGATATTGCATGTGTCTGACAAGTTCAGGGATGCAGATAGTGCATGTGCCTGGCATGTTCAGGGATGCAGGTAGTGCATGTGCCTGACAAGTTCAGGTATGCGGGCTCAGTCGCTTCATATGGCTTCAGTATTTTCTGAAATCATCTTAAATATGATTTTTCTAGTTCAACTTATGTCTTAAATGCAAGCACCCCAAAGCTGCTGTATAGATTAAATTTTTTGTCAAAATTTTATCTGATAATACATCAGTGGGGGGTAAAAGCAAGCGAGATGAATAGGATTTGGATGTTCTCAAAAGTTACATCGAACTAAGTGTAGTTATAGGATGAAAGCTATGCTCGTGGTGTTCAATCTTCTTGGTATTCTGTCAAAGTTTTGAACAAATATAAAATGAGTACAACTTGAGTGGATGCTAGGTTTTATTGGGGGACCTATATCAGTGGTCTACGTGCTCAACTTATAATGGTGGGTTGTGGGTTCGATCCCTGGTCAAGACAGAAATAGTTGGGCACTTTTCCTTTCACCTGATGCATCTGTTCAGCTAGCATTAAATGTATGTATCTGGTAGTTAGGCAATTATTGTGGGTTGCATTCTGGGGAAGGTTAATAGATGACCTAGAAGGACCTTGAGCCTAAATACAAGCTTTGTCCCCAACAACTTAAGTCTTCTATTTAAGTCACAGGAGTAGTGAATCATTTTAAATTTGATGAACATTATTAGCTATAAGCTTATATTTACAATGAATGAAAGTGTAGTCAGTAGTACACTGGAGATGTGGAATAGAACTAAGTATAGCATAGGACTGAGATAAAAGATACGAGAGGTGTAATAATGGCTTGCATTTAAATGTGGTATGATTGTTAGACATTTCTTCCTGTCCAATTTGTTGTTAGTCGATTTTAGTTTAATAGGGAATTGTCAGCTAAAGTAGGCAAGATGCTTGTGTTATAGATTGAAAAATATATCTTTATTAAACATTACATATGTAAATGTCAGCATTTTGTTCTTTTAAATTCACACGAGATGAACTATTAGATACGAACCTTGCATATTGATATATCATAAAGTATAAAGATGTAAATAGTACACATTTTATTTGCATTTCATTCCATGTCATCCTTTTGTTTAGTCCACCAAGACTCAACACTGCAAGTCTCATAAATAAATGTGTGGGTTATTTCTCATCCCAAGTTTAATTTTGTACAGTACTTGCTTATTGCTTCATATCAATTTCACAGCTAATATTTACTAAGTAGGAAAATAAATTCTCATATCTTTAGGGGTTAAAGTTTGAGAAATCTGGATGGAAATTTGCCACACAGTTTGACCACTGAAAAGTTGCTCTGCCTCTTAACTACTGTAGATTAATTGCACTGCTTTTCCAGTAATAACGCTTCTGTATTTAATTATATTGCTGTGTTCTTCACCGATGGTGTTAGATTGTTAAATTAATTCTCATGAGTTTGTTAGATAATTAGGGTCTTGCCTTAGGAAGACCATGAAAGTGTTCAGATTTTTTTAATAGTTCTAAGAATTAAGTGAAGGAGTTAAAACATGTGTAATATTAATTCTTTTGTAATGATTTTGAGAAGTATCGTAAGTAAAAGAGGAACATCGTATAGTATGTCTGCAATACATCTAATAACTAAGTAAAGAACAAACGTGCATTTTTTCCCATTTATGAAGATGCCTTGTCAAGTAAACAGAATTGTTAAATGGATATTCATTAAGTAATAATGTAGACATTACTGGGACTGTACAAAAGTACTAAATTATGTTTAAAACTAGAATTTGATAAAATGAATGTCAGTTTATTGGTTGAATAAAATTTTTGTTTACTTCAACAATTGTTATTTATTTTGTTTACTTTGTTGTTCTGCCTGTTGAGTTCAGAAGTCCTTTCACACTCTGGGAGTGTCATTTTCTGACATTGGTCTTCTGTGCTAGCTGAGTCGTCCTCTGATTTATCAGGCTGCAGTTGTGATGTGGGATCACACTGTGATTTTAGCTTCTGGGGCACCTGGCTGAGCCAAGTGGGAAGCCAGCTGATCTATTTACAGTATATTTTTGAAGAGGATATTGAGCGTCTTGTTTTGCAGATTTTGGCTAAAACTTTTGCGAGCTCCTCAGCTTCTTGTGCTTTAGCTGTCAACCACATGTTTGGTGAACTTTGATTTGTTAAGTTTCCCAATGTGCCATTTGCCTTGGCTCCTAAACAGCCTCAGGCCAAGGGCCTGCGGGAGCCAACAGTTGGGGGTTTGGCGGAGATCTTCAGGGGCTGTCTTGTCCAGGCCTTTAAGGTAGTAGGGCTTTCAACAAATCTTCATCCCCCATATTTCTTTGGGATGTACCTGACGGTTCTATGTTCGCAGGTATTGGGAAATTCCCAGGTTAATACTTTCCTTGTTCTTCCTGGGCTTGGGAGGAAATGTTGGCTCTGTCCTGGGTCCTGCTTTCTCTATGCATGTACTGTAGTCGCACCTTGTTACTGACAAGTGGCTGCAGCTATTGGCTCCAAAGTTATGTTTTCACTTCCAGAGTATCAGGGTGACCAATATTGGATGTGGAAAGTCTAGGTACCTGCTCTTCTCGGTCACTTCTCGCAAATCAACCCTAAGCCTACTGGGTGATCACAAATACTTACCACAGTTAAAGGGTTAAAACTGACAGTGGACAGAGTAGTGTACAGTTGCAGTAAAGGTTGGTTGCATTGATATCTGATAAGGAAGAGGTGCATAAAAAAAATAGTAAGGCTAAATAAAAATATCAGTAAGGAGAGCATTTCCTTAGTACAGTACTATAATTGAGGAATGTGGTCGGATGTTAAATTAAAATATTAATTATACAGTAATGTCATTGCTGTCAATTGTCTTTAAGTGTAGGGTACCAGTGCCATGGGAAGACATAGAACAAAGCATCTGACTATAAATATCAATTTTATGAGTATAGGGAAGGTCACAGCAAACTATTGAGTTTGCTCAAAAAAGTGATAGGGGAAATGATGCACAGCATGCAATACATATGCTGTAGAGTACTATATGTAATATTTGCTTTTGCTGACCTGTTAATAATATTAACTATAAACTCAGCTTAGCCTTAGCTGGGATAATAAGTAATCTTCTTGTACAGTTCTATTAGCTTTTGGACTGATATGGGCTGCTAATGTGTTTCATAATGATATGATTGTGAATATCTTGTAAATAGCACTTGAAACTGCATATGTATGTTTTCTTTTTTACTGATATTGTATATATTTTTCTTAATACTTATAGCTCTTGAGAGGTTTGGAAATGCTTCTGTTCTGTTTACTGATTAGCATTAATATGTTTGTTGTGTTGAATATTGATTCAGTATATTACTTATGGCATTGTGTGTGTGTCTTCAGGTACTCTTGTAAGCATAACAATTCATTTCACCAATATGGGTACAGTATATTATAGGTATACCCTTAATTATTTAGATAAAATCAGTGATATTTTATATACTAGTCTTTTTATTAACTGAGAGTAGTTATTTTTTAAATGAATATAAGGTATATGTTTAAACACTTTCCTTATTTAAAAGTAAACATGGTAAGATTATATTTAATGCTATAATAACAAATTATTTGTTAATTATTACACTCAAACTGCACTATTAGGCCATAGCATAAATTTAATTATTGACTTGACACCTCTTTTTACCATCCTGTCCTCTTAATGCATCACGCTTGTGATGCTATTGACCACTGCGTCAAAATACTGGTGCTTTATTGAAACTAAAAGTGCCGTAATATTGATGCTTCCAACCTGTCTTTTTACTTAACACACTACATTTTTTACGCTCTGAACGCCAACATTATAATTGCAGTGTTTTAAGGAAATTAAATTGACGTTTTCTGGGACTAATGAGTATCGACTCCAGTAGGTTAGATGGATTGCCAAGGTTTTCTCACTTCTGGTTAGGCAAAACCGCTGCATTTTGTACAGAGTGGTTATGAAGAGAACGGGCTTGAACATTAGTCTCAATAGGATAACTGGTTGCACAAGCTGAAATGCTCTTCAAAATTATCAAATTGTGAACATTGGACTGCTTTATTAGCAGTAATACGTATGTGTCAATTTGGCCAAAGTACGTTGAAGTACTGTACTTTATTTTAATTCTGAAGCAAATTCATTTAGTAAATAATATATGGTTCCTTTGCCTCCTTTGAGTATTGTACATTGTGAATTGTAGCTTCTGTAATTTGTGAAAACTTTGTACAGTATATCATTGTAAAGAAAGGTCATTGATTAAATATTTTGTAATAAACTTTTTATTGACAAATCGGGCACAATGTTGCAAGAGAACGGTACTTGGTAAACTTACTGCCAAAAGTGCTTTAGAATATGGTCGTGAGGTTTGTCCAATATTCACATTTACTCTATTTGGATTTCTGCGAAACCACCTAAAGAATATTTCTTTATTAAGGATTACCATTTTATCTTGCAATGGACTGGTTACTTCCTCTTTAGATGAAACAAGTCTTTTTGTTTCTAGTGCAGCTAGAAACAAGTCTTTTTGTTTCAAGTATGATGCAAAGCTTACCAATAACAGGCAGTACGCTGGCTTTAGTAGTGCAGTTTGATTAAAGGCATTAAATACCTCTGTATACAGTAATTGGAAGTTAATGTCTTAAGGGTATATTACTCAGAAGACAAACTTTTATAAAATTGAGTATTAATTTTTCATTATGTAAATAACGGCGAAACGTAATGTTGCTAAATATTTGCTCATTCCTTAATGAATTTGCATATAGCATTTATAGTCAGATTTTCTGATTAACTGATTCTGATTTTTCTGATATTGTGATGAAGTGCATATACTGTCCCATAACTCCATGACATCAAATTAGTTCTTTGCCATTTGTTATGCTGTATCTGTATTTAAACTAATTAAAAAGTATACTTTTTAACATAGATTTCACACCATTACAACAGAGGCACCTCCAGTTGTGTCTCGTCGGGGATCAGTTGCGACTTCTCCTACGGGAGAGTATGGACCTCCTATATTGGAAGTGTCAATTCCAGCCACACCAACACGTATTACCCCTCCATTATCTTCTCGTTCACGATCCCCATCTCCAGATAAAGAAGATCTGTGGGAATCCATGGTTAGACACAGGTTAGTACTGTAGTATTTTTACCTAATTATGATTGAGACAGTTGTATGTGTACAGTAGAATGTTTCTCAGTTGTATGTGTACCATAGAATGTAGTCTTTATATTAATCAAAACACTGCAAGATTAGAATTTAGTTCTTGGTAGTTTCTTACCATACACGTAGCGAGCGAAAATTTGACGAGTTGTGCTCGCATACATAGTGGGGCTTCTGACCTATCCGGGCTACTGTTATTGGCTGTAATCCAAGATGCTTTATCATCTTTATTGTTGTTGATGCTATAGGTTGCAGATCTAATTTTCTCTTCTAAAATGTTGTTAGGGAACTTTGAACCACTTTTTTTTTTTTCCTTAACTGCCCTTAACTTCATCATCTTCATCCAGATAAAAAAAAAGTTTGACAATGGCTTTTTGATACCTTCATCTGGTCATTGAATCATGTTTCTTTTTATGCTTCATTACATTCCTTTCCTATGTTATTCAAAGGCCCATAGATATTGCAGCCTCACCAGAAATCTTGAGGGCAGTCTTGAAATCTTGAACTCCATTCATTGACATATGACTCCCTCCCACCATACTACACACAGCGCTAATTATCACAACAATCTTGATATTTAAAAACAAATCAAATCGTGAAGCAATTATTGCACAGTTGGAAAGTGCAAGACTAGTCAAAACCGAGATGCCGCAGTGAATGTGTTAAAAATTTGAAATCTTATATTTTATTTTTAACTTGTAAAATCTACTGTTTTCCAGCTTCTTTTTTAATTATAGTTTAGGTCTTATTCATTAAAAATATACCCTGTGTGTGTGTATATATGTATGTGTGTGTGTGTGTATATATATATGTATATATAACTACATACACACACTTGTGTGTATGTATGTAGTTATCCCAACTATAGAATTATTATTCTTTGTCATTTTGACCTTGAAATGTTTCTTTTCTCTGCACCATTTGCAGCAGGTAAGGCAGTGCTCGAGGGTGGTGAGTGTTTATTAAGTGGTTGCTGTCTAGTACTTGTTCTTTAATGTACATTCTGTGCTTGGTCTAGGACTTCTGCAGTTATGTACATTCTATGCTTGCACTAGTACTTTTGCTCTAATGCATTTTCCCCACTAGAGTGTTTAATGCAGAAATGTTTGTTGCTTTGTTTATACATGCTTCCATGCACAATTAAACTGCCATTATGAGATGGTGCATTAATTCTGACAAGATGATGGGGACGTGTGAAGCTTCGGAGTGGGAAAACTTGAAATATTTTTTCAAGTATGAATTTTTAATAGTTCTTCAAAAGTTCATTTACCTTAACTGCTGTTATGCTTTGTACAGTGGAACTCTTCTACATCGTAACTACACTGTACTTAGTTTTATCAAGCTGATCAAATCTATGTACAATACAGTCAGATTTTCTTTTTTTCTTTTTTTTAGCTCTTTATGTAAATGTTTCATAAATTCATTTTGTTTCATTAACAAAATGTGATCTGAATTATTTACAAAATCCTTAATTGCATTTTTAAAACATACAATACTTATTATGCAACAAGTTAAGCAATAAGATAAAGCAGAGGTTATAATATAATGTTCTGGAATGCCTTCACTAGAATTTGTTTTATTTGAAAATTTATCAGTGATACTTGTTGCTTGATTTGTTGACTTTTTCTCATTTATGTTGCAAAATTATTATTTGTTTATTGTTGATCATTGCATATGATTGGTGTATGCTTTTAAAGTATAAACATATAAAGTTATATATATATTATTACTATACATTATATAAGGTCCAGTAGCACAAATGGTCTATGTCCTTGAATCACAATCTAGGGACCAGAGTTCAATACCTGGGCAGGACAGAAATGATTGTTCATGTTTACATTTACCTGACTCTTCTATTCACCTAGCAGTAAATAGGTACCCTGGAGTTACACAGCTGTTGTGGGTTGCATGCTGGGGATGGGTAGTCCTGTAATTGGCCTAGGAGGACCTCGATAAATCAGAACAGGCTTCCTGTCCCCGACAACAGGAATTAAAAAGTAGATACTTAAAGGTGTGATTGGCATACTGTAGCATTGAATACTGAATACCACACGACTCCTCAGCTGTTATGCTTTGGTAATTGTAAGAGAAAGAATACATGAAGTACGAGACATTTCACATGCTTTGCCATAAAGTTGACACTGTCATTGAGGTTAAAATGTGTAGTAGCTGATAATAAATTTAATTTTTGTTTGATTTATTTACTATAACTGCATTATCCTGGATAATGTATATATTATATTTACCGTATCTGCATTATTCTGAGTTATGTATCATACATATTTGAAGTACCTACTTTATAATGAATGAAGTGTGTAATACTGTCATTGTTATGGTAGAGATTAATTAGTACACAAAGCAGGTAAAATTTAAGATTTTTAGAACAGAATATTATAAATGAGAATGTTTCAGACACTTTCCTTTAAAATGTTGTGTAAGATTAGGTATGGTAAGCAAACCTGTTTGAATTGAACTACAGTAGTTAGTCTGTGACCTTTAAACCTCCATGCATGTGAACCTTAAAGGTGGTAATATTTAAATACAGTTGTGTTAATTGTCAGTGATGTCTAATATGCAGTTTAAATTCGGAAACATAAGAGGAATATTTCAGATAAAGCCGGGAATGCTTTTGTGTAGGTTTTGGCACGTTACATACTTAATAAACAATATTTTTATATGCTAACTTTTTATGTAAGGATCTTATGAAACTCATGGGGTTGATCTTTGATACTAGCTTGTCATGGTCATCACTTTTCCATTACCTACAAACTGATGACTTTACTTGTATGTGCCACTCCTGAAAATTGTGCAGTGGCATAACACAACAAGGGTAAGTCACAGTGAAATAACTACTGATTGGACTTGACTTCAGTTATCATTTGGGGCAAGACATTTTGGCACGTTTCCTTGCACTTGGTGCCCCTCAATAAGCCCAAGTACAGGCTTCCTGTCTTTGACAATGGAAATTTAAAAAATTAATCATGTCAGTCAAGTCATTTAGTTGATGTGTCAACCATGGCATCTCTTGTCAATTATTGATTAACATGATAAACTAGAATTTCCAAATATTTCTTGACTAGCTTAAACTGTGTAAATGAGACCAATGTTTCCGTCAAGATGGGTGATGGTGTGAACAGCTTTCAGATTTTGAACACTTACATAGAACAAGTGAGTAGTATTGTGATGTAAAGTGTCAGTTAATCCTGTATTAATGAGAAAGTAAACTCGCTAAATATTTATACAATGTGATACAAATCCCATGGAGATTAAAAGTTTTAAGTAATCAGTGAGATGAAGTGTAATATTCAAATATACAGTGTCCAAGTTCTCAAGGAAATGATTTGTTTCTTCAATTAGGTAAGTACCAAATATAAATTTAATTTGTTGTATGTTATACACTATAATGATAAGAAATTATGTACTGTTTGAGAGAATAGTGTATAGTACAATGCAGCAGTGGTAATGAGAGGAAGTGCTTGGCGAGATGAAGAAATGGTAAAGTGTACACGATAAGTGGATTTTGTAGTTACAAAGTGATGGGGAAATAAGAAGCATGAAAATTTAAGCAATGAGACGAAAGGGTACATGTGAGGAAGTTATGCTTGCACCTGTATCTTGAATACCTGTACTTTGTGTACACAAGTGCTAAATAAGGTGAGTAAGCACAAAGTTAGTGCGATTTGTGTAGTGCTTGGAAGGGATGTGAAGACAAGAGTCTTGTATTTGGACAGGGGAAAGGAATGGTACCCAACCACTTGGACCATCGAAGGGCTGAATGTCGACCTGTAAGAAGCAAGGCCATTGCTCTACTGATCAGTCCAAGTTGTTGTTGTGTTTAGTAGTTCAAAATAGCTATTGGCTTTTTATAAATAGCTTTCTTTATAATTACTACTACACCTGTGCAGTTGTATCTGCAGGGAACTAAACATTAGAAGAAATGGGGTTTTCTTAAATCAGTACACAATCATCGGCCATTATCTGCTTACTGTTGAAGGTCGTGCATATTTTCTACCATTAGTCTGTTAGACTTGTATCAAAATGCCTCTTCTTGCACGTATTACTTTATTTAAAATAAACTTGAGTGAGATTAATAGAGCTACATGGTCATAGATACACTGGGTTGTGAGGTAATGCAAATGGTTTAATATATTCCTCTCAAAATGATTCAGACTTCTACGTCAAGGTTGTACAGTATTCTTTGCTTACCCAGAGTAATTGTTCATTACTCTTCTCTGAAAGATAAATATTTAAACTTAAAAAGGAAATGAAGGACCATCATTAAATTGTTTAACATCAATACTATGGCTCTTGTTGACTAATGATGAAAAATAGTTTTAATTGGGTTAATTTTTTGTTTACGTGTTAACAAATTGGTGTGTACTCTAGCAGTGGTGAGTGTTGACTAGACATCTTGTGATGTTTGGCAGTTAGCAAGGACAAATATCGGAGAATGAGCAGATGTGTGTGTGTGTGTGTGGGGCTGGTGATGTGCAGAGTGATGGGTGAAAGTCATGTTGTTTGTAGGGTACACATGGTGTTCACAATAACAGTGGAAAAAGTGAAAATATTTCAGTTCTTACTGGGTCATTATCAAGTGTGTGTAGTGTTTGCTGTTGCATACACATTGCTGTGATTTTTCTCTTCACAGTAATGAGATTTGGGAAGGAATCGTGGGCTGGCTGTCGGCTGGAACAAGTTGAAATTAGCTTCGTCATCCATAATAGCTGTGATAATAGTAACAATGGTAGCTGTAGTAATAGCATTCTTGGGTAAACAGGAAGGTAGAAGTCACAGGTGTATTGATACCAATGTCTTGACTGATGCCAATATCCACTATAAATGGGGCCGGATGGTGTAATTATACAAGATATAACAATAATAGTCTCATGATAATCTTGCCTACTCAGACCAGTCTCTTTCCTTTAGGCTAATCTTACTCCTTGGTATCAGTGCGAGTCACTTAGGAG